TTAAGTATTATTTTCTTTCTAGAATAGTGCCAGTGATCCCTAACACCTTGGGATACATCGTGTATAGCTTTGCCTTGTATAATCCTTATATACCTTTTACGTGTGAAGAAATATGTAAAACCAATAAAGTCTTTTATGAATACTTTGTTTCTTAACTTGGTATAAAAGCCATCTGAATTCCTTCACCATGATCGAAATCATTCCTGAACCAACCTCTGTACCAATTATACATATTCAATCCGAAAATCCTAGCTTTACAGCTGGTGTTATTCTTATCGAAACCAATTATGATGTATGGTCCCAGATTTTGGAGATGCAAATTACTAGCTATGAGAAATTAGAGTATATTATGGGTAAAACAGATCCTTCGAAGGATACTGATGCTTCCTATACAAAATGATATGCTGAAAAATCAAAAGGTTAAAGGATGGTTGTTGACTTCTATGTCGCCAGAGATTATGAAGTGATATATTCGATTGCGTACTGCAAGTGAAAGCTGGAAAGCTTTTGCCAAAACTTTCTACGATGGGTCTAATGAATCACAACCACTCTTTGCACTAAATCAACCCGCTTGAAACAGGTTGATCGTCCTCTATCCATCAATTATGATGATGTTTTCAAAACCTTTCAAGAATTGGATCATCGTGATGAGATTAAAATGAAAGATCCTAATGATGTTTTCGCAAATAAAAAATCAGTTGAACGATTACATGGGTACATCTTTTTGCATGGGCTAGACACGAAATTTGAACAAATTCGAAGAGAAGTTCTTAGAAAGGATCCGACACTAGATCTTGAAGAAACTTATGCATATCTAATCATGTCACAAGAGGCATACTTAAAGTAAATTATGAACCTATTCTCAATTTGAAAAAAAAGTACCCAATAAGTAATTATATATTTTACCATAGATTGTTAAAGGAAAATATGTCATTTGTGAATCAAATATCTGTTATATCTATTCCTAGTAGTGTACAAGAGGCCTTGAAATATCTTAGATGGAAAGAAGCAATGAACGAAAAAATGAAGTATTTCTAAAAGAATTCAACATGGGAGATAGTCGATGGGTGGTTACTATTAAATACCAAGCTGATGGAACCATTGAACGTTACAAAGCAAGACTCGTCGCTAAGAGATATACTAGCTCAAAATTACGAAATTGATTATATGGAGACATTTTCACTAGTAGCCAAAATTAACACAGTTCATGTTTTACTATCCTTGCCGATAAATCTTTTCGTCTTTGCACTAATCCGATGTGAAGAATGCATTACTACACGGAGATCTTCGAGAAGAAGTTTGCATGGAATTACCTCCTGGATGTAATATACGGGCCAAGAATGGCAAACAAATCTGTAAATTAAGAAAGGCTTTGTATGGTTTGAAGCAATCCCTTAGAGCAAGGTTTGGATGATTTACAAAGTCTATAAAGTCCTTTGGATATAGAAAAAATAATTCAAATCATACATTCTTCTTGAAGCATTAAAGAGGTAAGATCATTGCTCTTATTGTATATGTTGATGATATGTTAATGACTAGAAATGATTCGAAGAAAGGAAGGCATTGCGATACCATCTTGCTCGTGAGTTTGAAATGAAAGATCTTAGCCAATTAAAGTATTTCTTAAGAATTGAGGTGTCAAGATCAAATAAATGTATTCTCTTGTCTCAACGAAACATGCATTAGATTTATTGAAGGAAGCTCGTATGATAGCATACAATCATGCTAGCTCTCTAATGGAAGTGAATCGAAGTTGGGATCCAAATCAAGTTCACGATATGCGAACTATTGTGGGTCAAAAAACTAATGCAAGAGTTAAACATTGAGCAAGGAGCCTTATAAAGTTATACTACGATAATAAGGCAACATGTGATATTGCCCACAATCCATTTCAACATGATCGAACCAAACATATTGAAATTGATAGGCATTTTATTAAAGAAAAGTTGGAAGCAAAGCTCATTGAATTTTCTCATGTTCGTTCCGAGGATCGGATTGTAGATGTGCTAACTAAGGTGGTGTCTATTCTAATATTTAATAGTTTTCTTGATGAGAAAGGCATGCGTGATATCTACGCACCAACTTGAGAGAGAGTGTTGATAATTAATATGATTATCTCAAAGTTGATGTTGTGCAAATCTTTGTTATTATTATCTCTCTTTGTAAATATGTTAAGTATTAATTCCTTAATAGAATAGTGCTAGTGATCCCTAACATCTTAAGATGTGTCATGTATAGCTTTGCCTTATATAATCTTTGTATACCTTTTTGGTGTGAAGAAACAGTAAAAAAAAAAAAAAAAATTATGAATCTTTGTTATTATTATCTCTCTTTGTAAATATGTTAAGTATTAATTCCTTAATAGAATAGTGCTAGTGATCCCTAACATCTTAAGATGTGTCATGTATAGCTTTGCCTTATATAATCTTTGTATACCTTTTTGGTGTGAAGAAACGAGTAAAAAAAAAAAAAAATTATGAATACTCTGTTTCTTAACTCTTTGTTGTGGTTTATCACATCTTTTGGAACTATTAACTGAAAAAAAATTTCCATGCTTTTGTTTCTTTAATAAAATTTCTCACATTTTATATCACTTTACCTCATATTATAAGGACTTCCAAAAATAGGGTTTGAATTCGTGAAGACATTAATTTAAGCCAATTCCCTATATATTCTCCTTATTATTATCATTTTCATTATTATTTTTCAGAATACATAAAGCAAGCCCTAGTTTATAAACTGAGAAGTTGAGATGTGGTTTTGAAAAATATATTTCAAAATTGTAGTTTCTTGCAAGAAAAAACTTCTAAGATTGTACTCCATATGTAAACCTAGCTAAAACATTTTAGTAATTTCCGCAAACAAAAAAATTTATATGCTAGATTTTTCAACTAAAATTAATTAAGTAATTTAATAATTTTTATTATGTGATAATTCATGTTATTTTTTGAGGTTTTGACATGAGTCCAAACTACATAACAAATGGATTTGATTGATTATGAGTCTTGCTTAGCACAATGCTTTAAGTTGGGTAAGAATGGATGTGGATATTCTCTCAAAATTAATACCATCCATGCTTTATTGTTGGAATACAAGAGTAAAATTAGCTTAGTGATCTCGGAAAATAGTTCACTAAAAAAAATCCAATTTTGTATTTTATTTAGCTTTTACTAGCAAATTGAAGCAATTTAACCGAAAAAACTCAAATTTTTTTAATTGAAATCTAACCGTCCAAATATAGATGATATGACATGATTCTAATAACGAGTCAAGAATCATCTTTAACTCACTATAAATACCAACCTTACAATATTATAAGAGGATTCTGATTTTTTATTTCTAATGAAAGCCTATAAACTCTCTCTCTCTCTCTCCCTCGCGCACGCGCGTGCATACACACACACATACACAAATTCTTACAATATCAAACATCATTTGAAGCTCTGTTAGTTTGAACTTTAACCACCCACTTAAACGCTCTAACTTGCACCTTGACCATCCACTTGTTTGTCACTCGACTTGCATTTGACTAGTATTGTCTCGCTCTTCTTCTAATATTTCTCACTAATTGCATCCATTCTATTTGGATGGTTGATTGTTATTTATACAAATTACAATATTAATTATCCGTATTTTAACCAATCCATCTATCAGTTATTTGATTAGTTCTTAAAAACCTCCCACATATAAATTGTAGTCTTAATTTGCCAGATTTCAATCCATTGTACACCATATAAAGCAAAAACAATAATTGAATCCAACTCAGATCATCTCAACTCATTCGGATAAACCATTATATGAACTTTTCATCTTGAGCGAAACCCATAATCCATGTTTTTTATTTCTTTTCTCAATCAAATCCTCTAAATGAACCTATTACAGGAAGCCCTTAATTCTGGCACATGAGCAATTAACAAAATGAAAATCTTTATCAAATTGAATATTTTAAACTGGGTATTTCATAGTGCTTTTATTTGCTGACATGATTGGTGTAGAAACAAAAGATTCAATGAAAGCTAAATGGCATGGATTGGATACATGATGTATCAAGCATGTTGTGATCACAATATATTATATAAAATAATTAGTATTAATTCCACTTACCATCTACAATTTGGTGCGATACATACGATAGCTTACATTCACATATTAATTTCAACTCAAACTAAACACTACGTTATTGGGTTATAGCTCCATTTTTGTATGTAAACATAGCATCCTTTTCACTCCTAGGTAATGTAGGATTTTTCCACTAGTACATGCTGAGAGCCAAGAATGGCTGGTGGAGACAGCTGCCCCTCAAAAGTTTAAAATGGTCCTTTGAGTTTAATGAATTTTTCAAAAAATATTTTTTTACTTTTTATACGTAAATGACTTTTTCATCTAGCCATATCTATCCTCTCTGTTAACATAAAATTACTGAGGACTACCATCACGCACATTTGATTCTGCCATTCATAACCAAACTTATGCACGCTAGTCGTCATGTATTTGTATGAACATAACCAACACACAAACCTTGCACTATAAGGTTAGGTTAAAAGCTAGTCCATCTTTGTATATTAAATATAAAAACCTCACTACGCATTCTTAACATGCATGCTTACACCTTAAAACAATCGTTTCTGGAAGATAAAAGAAACCGGTAAACTATCAACTCATCAAAGAGGCCAGTACAACTCAAAGTCAATTATGATTATTCAAGGGAAAAAGAAAAAGAACATCTAAAATTTGAAACAAGAGCACTTGCGTGCCCAAAAATCTAATGATGTAAGCATAAGAAAGAAAGAAAAAAAATCGAAGGATGATAAATGCATTTAGTGGTTGAAGGAAGATTCAACGCTGAAATAAAAATAGATAGGCATTGCAAGATAAATGCTGGATTAGTTTACTGACTCCAGTCTATAAATAGACTCCTTTCTAATGCAGGAATTCTATCCCTCACCTCAAGCAATAACAGCTGAAAGCCTGAAAGTGTTAAGTTATAGAACATAACTACAATGAAAACTGTTCATTACCGATTAGCTTTTGTTGTCTTGGCTTTGGCCTCTTCAGTTACTTCTGCCTTTGACCCCAGCCCGCTTCAGGACTTCTGCGTAGCCATCAATGATCCCAAGGCTGCTGGTACTGATCCATTCTTCTAGCATCCTCCAAGTTTCTACCATAATTATTTATACCAACATATAATGTACATTTCATAAAATGTAGCCTCTTATGGCTTCTTGTTATCTACTTGAAAATTGTTCCATTGTTTTTTCATGCTTGCTGTATTAACCATTATTTCTTTTATGCAGTGCTTGTAAACGGGAAATTCTGCAAGGATCCGAAGTTCACGACAGCGAATGATTTCTCCTTTTCAGGACTCAACATTCCCAGAAACACAGTAAACCGAGTTGGATCGAATGTTACTCTCTTAAATGTTGACCAAATACCAGGGCTTAACACGCTTGGCATATCTCTGGCTCGCATTGATTACGCACCAGATGGTGGCTTAAACCCACCCCACACTCACCCTCGTGGCACAGAGATCCTAGTAGCCGTTGAAGGCGCCCTCTTAGTTGGTTTTGTCACATCCAACCCGGATAATCGTTTCATCAGCAAACTCTTGCACCCTGGAGATGTTTTTGTGTTTCCAATTGGCCTCATTCATTTCCAGGTCAATATTGCAAAAACCCCAGCAGTTGCCTTTGCTGGTTTAAGCAGCCAAAATCCTGGTACTATCACAATAGCAGATGCAGTGTTCGGGTCAGATCCACCCATCAATCCTGATGTTCTTGCCAAGGCCTTCCAATTGGACAACAAGATAGTGATCAATCTTCAGAAACTGTTTGGAGGAAACAATAATTAAGGAAACATGTGTAATATGATAAGCAGGCATGGACTAGTAGCCTGATTTTATAATGTTTGGCAACCTCCTTTTGTTATGTCATAATCAAAAAATATAATAAATGGTTTCTTATAAACCTTTTCTTAATGTGTTATTGTGCATCTCGGATAACATATATTATAGGATATTCAAGTCTGTTAAAGGCCCCTCTCTATGTTTCAAGTCTACTGATAGAGACAATTCCTTCTTGGCTCTAAAAAAGGACCAAAATTTCAACTGGGGTGTTACACCTCTTTGATTAGGAATATATTTGAGAATATCAGGAAACTTTCTCGATGGCATCCTTTGTCATTTCCTAATTTCGGAAAATTTTATGTTTTTCATGTCCAACCCCTGCAATTAAAATCTACAACAATTAGTTGCAGGCAGAACTTGAGTTTCCTTGTGTCTCAATTAGGGAAGAGCAATAGCTTCTACACTCAAACTGTTGAATATGGGAAGAGGAATGAGAATAGAGTTTAATTTTTTTCTATTCTCTGAGTACAAACAATTATTTGTAACTGTAAAGGTGAGCTTTAGTGAAAGGAAGGTCGTTATGTTCTCATTTTAGCGTTGCTCAGATGCAAATTTATACATGTAATTACATGAGCTCTAAGCAGGAGTCACGTTTCATGCCCTGCTGCCGCAATAGATCTTAGAATAATTTAAAATTGAGAACACGACATCTTAATTTCAAGGTTGTATGTCATGAACTACTTCCTTGGATTAGACTTTCTTCAGGTTTGTAGTAATTACAGACCTATCATATTAGGATATATCCAAACCATTATTTTTAAAATTAATAATTAGGTAAATCTAGATCATTGATTTAATAGAAAAAAAAATAAATTATCAATGTTGAAAGGATTTTAACCATCCACTAATTTGGTGAAATGAAATCATAACTGTAACTCTAACTATAACTATATATATATATATATACTTGACAAGCAAATTATATATATATATATATATACATACATACTTGACAAGTAAATTTTTAAAATTAAAAAGACATGCATGTTTTCCTATAAGTGAATGGACCGGAAACTCATTTTGTCTAATAAAATTTACACTAGTTAAACACGAGTATATGGAACGATATTGCTGTTCAAAGCACATACTATAATAATTTAAAAGTAAGAATACAAGTTTCTAAGGGGAGAATGTAAGGAAAAAAGAACAAAAGCAAAATTGTTCCTTAAGGCACAAATTCAGGTGTGAATGTCGTCCTACCTAAAATCAGATTAGAAACGAAGCTAGCTAGTCTCGACATGCAAAAGCTCATCTAGGTATATCTTTGGTATTAAAATTAATGGGGAGCTGAAAAAGTCACTATATAAGCTAGCTCATCCTATGGGGAAGTCAAAGGATTTTCTCTCTCTATATATTAGAATAATTATCTAACAAATGGAGCAAAAAAGGTAAAAGGAATCATTTTCGTTGCAGTTGTAGGATTGAGTGATTTTGAAACCTTCCAATGTACTAAACTCATCTGAGATTGGATCATAGCTTAAAGTGGATAACCAACCAAAACTACACCATGAAAAATGTAGAGAAAAATATATATTAGCACATTCTAAACGCAGACCAATTTTGAAAGAATACCTAATATCTAGTAATCCAAATTCCTATTATTAGTCAAAAAAAACTATTGAAAAAGCCAGTAAAGGAGGACCTTCAGACACAGAAGTAAACAGAGTCTGAGAGTCCTCTATTTTTATTCTCTTAAAGCAGGCACAAGACAAAAGAGTAGTTGGTTTCGTTAGAAATATAGAAATTTTATGAACTTTGGTCTTAGACTGCCACTGCCAGCAGTAATGCTGACGAGGTGATCAGGTGATGCAATAGAAATTTTATGAACAAATGTGTTTGAAAGATTGAGAGACAGGGGTCTCTTAGCTTCTGAGTAATCCTGAGGTCGAGAGTTGGAACCTCTCTAACCCCAAATTTGTTCTTTTGAACTTCATCGTCGAAAAGTACATTTTGTATCTCAATCCATACAGGAAATCCTTAGTTTGTTCCCGGAATGGTTATCTATTAGTTAGTACTAGAAATACTGACAAGATAAGGACCTGATTTCAGTTCAGTAATTCCCACTAACATTCAATTCAAGGTATTTGTCGATAGGATCAATGGTGACTTATCCTTTCAAAATCCTCTAAAGTTCATGAGTTGTTAGAGAAATATAAATCATATGTTGGATCTCGCCTAAAACTTGAGATTTTTTATGAGATGGTTGCTTAATATGTTATCAAAGATTTGCTAACTTAATCGAATCCTACCATCTAATTTTTTTTTCTAATTAATTAAACATAAGATAGTGTGGATTTATGGAGACTTATCAAGTATATTATATACCCACTATGTGTTGGAGCACTCGATCGTAATCCCACTCAGTATACAAGACTTACTCTCACTCATGCTATCCAGTTGAATTGATTCCAATTCCGTATGAACTTTCTCTCCTGAGTCCGACCACTTTGCAGATCCAAAAATACCAAAGGTTTTCTACCTTAAACAAATTATAAAAGAGTTAGAGAACCCATCATATTTGTTGTCATTTGTATCCCATCAAAATCCTCTCAAGTCCATGAACGAACTAAAGTCTCATCATTAATTTCAAAATCTTGGTCTAGTGATTAAAAAAGTTTACTGAATTTTTTAACTTTCTTAATTCAAATCTCGGTGTCAAGCATGGAGGAGAATTTATTAAATTCTTCTTAATGCAACAAGTCAAATTAGGAGTGTGCTTTTAAGACATAATGAGAGGGGTTTTGTTTTAATTGACACTCAAGTTCGTCTTCTTGGTTGAAGCTCAGATTTGTACTAGCATACATTTACTGTCGAATACATTTTTTTTAAGCAAATATAGTCACGACACCACTCCATTATTAAACAAATACAGTGCTTCAGACTGAATTTTTGAACCAGCTAATCAAGAAAGATTTAAAGTGAAAAAAAAAAAAAAAATTGCAGGGAAATCTTATACAGAAGCAGCAAACATCATATTTCCTACGTTTTTTAATCAATAAAGATTCAAGGGCCAAATGTTTCATCACCAAGTACCAGTTTTAACTTCTTTCCCCATTATAGATATGACAGCTTTAGTCCTTTCAAATACTAAAAGTCTGATCACAAAATCTTAAACATTGATGTAGGATTATACAAATCCAAGACCGAATTGAATCATTACCAAGGAAGAACAGAGGGCAGGGTAAAATACAAGATTGGAATCACCATAACTTTTGTCTCGAAGCTGTATTGATGAAAGCATCCAAGGAAAAATAGAAAAAGTGGTTCAACAATAAATCATCATTTAATAACTACTCCGGACTGCCCCATCAATTTAGTTAGAGATGACAGAGACTTATAGCTTCAGAGCATCACCTATAAATAGTAATGGAATTGGGCAAGATTTCTCACCCTCAAAACTTGAAAAATTTGAAGGTAGAGATAGTCTAGTCGCAATGAAGGGTGATCATTTGCTTGTAGCTTTTGCATTCTGGGTTTTGGCTTCCTCATTTGCATCTGCCTATGACCCTAGCCCTCTCCAGGATTTCTGTGTCGCGATAAATGACACCAAGTCTGCTGGTATATATATATATATGATTTTAAGTTTTTTCAGTGCATTTCTTTTATTTTGTTGTGCCAAGTAAGTTGACAATAAACGTTTGTGACATGCAGTGTTTGTGAATGGGAAGTTCTGCAAGAACCCAAAGCTTGCCATCGCAAATGATTTCTCCTTTTCAGGGCTCAACATTCCCAGAAACACTGGGAATCAAGTTGGATCAAATGTAACTCTCTTGAATGTCGATCAAATACCAGGGCTTAATACTCTTGGCTTATCTCTGGCTCGTATAGACTATGCAGCATATGGAGGCTTGAACCCACCCCACATTCACCCTCGTGCATCAGAGATCCTACTAGTTTTGGAGGGCACACTTTATGCTGGTTTTGTCACGTCAAATCCAGATAATCGCTTTATCACAAAAGTCTTAAACCCAGGAGACGTTTTCGTGTTTCCGTTAGGCCTCATTCACTTTCAGTTCAATGTTGCAAAGACCAATGCAGTTGCCATTGCTGCTCTGGGCAGCCAAAATCCCGGTGTCATCACTGTTGCAAATGCAGTCTTTGGATCTAATCCGCCCATTAATCCTGATGTTCTCGCCAAGGCGTTCCAATTGGAAAAGAATATAGTGAATGATCTTCAAAAAAAGTTTGGAGGGAATAACAAATAGGGACATATATATAGGCAAAACAGTCGTAAACTGGCAGCCTGATTTGATTATGTTTGGCAATATTTCCAAATAATGTCATCCTCCTAATATTATTATGTTCAACAATATTTCCTCGTTATGTCACTCATAATATATAAATCTGGTTTCTCAAGTGCTTTTCTGTGTTGATTCTGTGTCAAATTGTGATGGTGCTATGAAGATTAAGAAGAATGCTTCGACAAATACAGCACAGACATACATGAGACACCAGTACCGCCTGTACCTGGAACATACAACATACATGTCTACATATATAGAGTAATGCCTATACACTAAACACCAAGTTTCATATATATATATATCCAAGTGCGATGTACAAAGGAGACAGACCAGCTCAAAGACCCACAGTACTAACCTATTGTTTTTTTTAAAAAAAAAAAAAATTTCGACCTAATAGTGTGTTATTCCACTGTCGTCCAAGTAGGCAAGTCATTACTCCTTGCTTAGAAGAATTATTTAAGGCCTTAACATGCAATTAAAGTATTCTTTGGCTACCAAAAATAGAGTGATGGAAATATGATAGAAGTTTTATTTATAATTTATAAATGTTTGGTTGAAAAGAATGGAGTGGAAATGTGAGCGAAAATTAAACATTGTTTTATTCTCATGTGAAAAATAGGAATAAAAATGAAATTTTTTTAAAAAATAATGATTTATTATTTTTATTTATTGTGTATCAATTATTTTTACCACCATTATCACCTCTTCTTCCATCACCATCGTCACCTCCATTGGTGGTAATAATAAAATAAATTTTGAAAAATAAATGTTATTATTATTATTATTTCATCACCCTTCCTCCATTATTACCATTATTTTTATTATACTACTATTATCACCATCATTTTTATTCCACTTGCCACCCATATGGTAATTATAATATTTTTTAAATATATTAGTATTATAATTATATTGTTATTACTATCATTTTTTTCGCATCATCCTCTCGTTGCACTAAGGAGCTCAAATGAAAACAGAAAAATGGTAGGAATATAAATCGTAAGGGATGAAAACTGTTGATATATTTTCCAGAATTACAAAGCATCCTTAAATACACAAACTTCTTAACTAAAATCCCTATAAATCGAGCATATGATCAACTAGCCAACTCGCTACTAGAGAATAGCCACTAACTACCACTTCTAGCTACAAAATAACAACTAACAACGAAAATGGAAAATGCATAAAGACATGGTCAACAATTCCATATCTCGCTTATTTCAAATTAGCTACCGAGGCATACGGACAACATTTCTCCTTGCATCGGTAGCTGCACACTCCTAGCTTCTTCCTTAAAAACTCAAATCTACCTTTGGGAAGTGCTTTAGTAAAAATATCACTAACTCGATCATGAGTCCATGTGGCAATTGTATTAATTTTTTTAAAAATATATTATCACTATTACTCTATTATTATTACTATCGATTTTTTTCATCATCCTCTCGTTGGATCGATGAGCTCAAATGAAAACAAAAAAACGATAGGAATATAAACCGTAAAGGATGAAAACTGCTGATATATTTTTTAGAATTACGAAGCATCCTTAAATACATAAACTTCTTAACGAAAATCCCTATAAATCTTCATATAATCAACTAGCCAACTCGTTACTAAAGAATAGAAGCTAACTACCACTTCTAGCTACAAAATAACAACTAATAAAGAAAATGAAAAATGCATAAAGGCATGGTCAATAATTCCATATTTGCTTATTTCAAATTAGCTACTCGGGTATATCAAGAACACTCCTCCTTGCATCAGTAATCGCACACTCCTAGCTTCTTCCTTAAAAACTCAAATCTACCTTTAGGAAGTGCTTTAGTAAAAATATCAATTAACTAATCATAGGTCTTGCAATAAAGCAAGCATACTTCACTACTTTTCGAGCTTCTCGAGTAAATAGAGCTTGATGCTAAAGTGTTTGGTCTTTCCATGGAAGACTAGCTAGATTGTTGGAGATTGTAATTGTAGCCTAATTATTCGTAAGCACTTTAGTGCTTTCTTCTTGATTCATGTCCAAATCGGTTAATACCTTTCTTAGCCATAAGATTTGCTTCACAACTCGCTTTTATAGCTATGAATTCGGTTTCAGCGAGTTAATTATGTCACAATTTCTTGCTTTTTAGAACTCCATGAGAACACTCTAGAACTAAGGGTGAAGTAATAGCCGAAGTGCTATTCATGTCATCTATGGATCATATCCAATCATTATAAAAAAAACAATGAAAATTAAAAATATGATCATAATTGAACAACGCCTCATGATCAATAGTTCCTTTGAAATATCTAAGTACGCGTTTTGTCGCCTTCAAGTGCTCCTCATTAGCACAATGCGAAATCTTGACAACACACTCACAACTTGCATAATATCGGGTTTGGTTGCTATGAGATACGTTAAGCAACCTATGAGGCTTTTGTAGATAACCTCATTAGTCTTTTCCGCACCATCTTCTATATAGAGTCTCTCTTTTTGATTCATAAGAGTACTCATAAGCTTGCATACCTCCATCTGAAATTTTCTTAGAGTTTTTTTAGCATACGTTTTCCGACATATGAAAATACCTTGCTAATCTTGCCTAATCTCTATTCCAATGAAGTATGCCATTCCTCTTAGGTTTATCATTTCAAAGACCTTCAACATCTCCTGTTTGAATTACTTGATAAGGAAGGCATTGCTTCCTGTTACTAAGAGATCATCGAGTACAAAGAAATGATCAAAATATCAATATTTAAGTGTTTAACATACAAATTTGACTCACTAACACTCTTCGTAAAGCCAAGACTAAGTAGATGTTCATCAATTCTATCGTACTTGGGCTCTGAGAGCTGTTTCAAACCATACAATGTCTTTTTGAGCAAATAAACCTTGTCTTCATGTCCTTCTATTGCAAATCCCTTAGGTTGCTCAACGTATATTTCCTTCTACAAGTAGCCATTGAGAAAGTTAGATTTTACATCAAGCAAAAACACCTTACATCCTTTTTATGCGAGCAAATGCAAAAAGCATTCCGATGGTGTCAAGTCTTGTAATTGAGCAAATGTCTGCGAGAAGTCAATGCAAAACACTTTGAGCAAATCCCTTCACCACAAGTCCGGCACCGTGCTTATTGATAGAACCATCTACACTCAATTTGGTTTCAAACACCCATTTTCCTCCAATGACCTTCCTATGCCGAGGTCCGTCAACAAGCTTCCAAGTTTGATTCTTTTCAATCATATTCAGCTCCTCATGTATCGCTATCCATTGTGGATCATTTTCAGCTTTATTGAATCCTGTTGGCTTAAATAATGCAACATTACATCTCTAATATATATCGGAAAGCAATCGATACCTCGACATAAGGATCATCAATTTCTTCACCTTGAACTAGTTGAGAATCATTAGGTCGCTTTCCTTCTTCTTCCCGAGCACCATTATATTTCTTCTACAAAGTGAACATCTTTGCTTACTAGAATCTTCTTAGTTTGAGAATGAAAAATTCTATAAGCCTTAGAGATGTTGCTATAGCTAATGAAAATGCCAAGGTCTATCCTCCTATCAAGCTTATCCCTTTTCACTCGAGGTTTATGCGAAAAACAAATACAACCAAAGATTTTAAGGTTCTATAGAGAAGATTTATAGCCATATCAAGCTTCAAATGGATTTTTTCCTTTTATAGCCTTTATAGGTAGCATATACGGCAGAAACACATTTGTATTGGCTACTTTTACCCGGAATTTCTTAAGGAGCTTTTTTCCATGTAGCATACATCTAACCATCTCCATTATTGTTCTATTCTTTCTCTCATTAATCCCATTTTGTTATGGAGTATAAGAGACGATAGGCGACGTTCAATCCTAGATTTTTTACAAAATAAATTAAACTATTCGATCCGTACTCTTTTTCATTTTCCGATCTCAAAGATAGAATTTTGCAGCCACTTTAATTCTCAATCCAAACTTAGAATTTCATAAACACTTCTACAACTTCAGACTTAAACATTAGGACTTAAACATTAGGAGATCCAACACATTACGGTTAGATCATTAATAAAAGTAATGTAAAATTTACTTTCATGTAATAATGGTTCGGGAAGAGAGCCACAAAGATCAATATGGATCAATTACGGCTTCTCCGATGCTCTTCATAGTAGTACGTGAGAAAGGCAACCTTGTTTGCTTGCCATATTAACATGCCCTACGACTTGACGGAGATTCATCTAATGATGGCAAACCTTGCACAAGCTCCAATTTCTTCATTAGTAGCAAAGCTGCATGATTAACGTGACCCAACCTCTTGTGTCAAAGTTCGGTAAGATAGGCATCTTGTTCTTCCGGTAAGTCTTATGTGAATGCCTTGCCCCTTATTTTTTACCTTGAACAATTTATGTCCTTCTACATCTTTGATGAGACACATTCAATCCTCAAACGAATTTTGTATCCCTTTTTCGGTAATTTACCGACACTCAATATATTTTGATTAATTTCAAGTACATAAAGAATATCGGTGATTGTTTTAGTACTCGAACAAATTTTAATTGTCATTGTTCCATTTTCTTTGACTTTTATGCATTCTTCATTGTCAATTTTAACTTTAGAGATAATAGACTCGTCAAGCTATTTGAAAAGCTCCTCATCATATGTCATATGATTAGTGCAACCATTTTCAATTAACCGATTTTGTTATTTTTTTAACTCAAATACCCAAGGCTCTTAATAGAACTAATCTGTTAGGATTTAAACCCATGATCTCTTCGTGTAAAAGATCACTACTATTGAGCCACAAACTCTATGGTTCAATTAACCAACTTTCACTTTAAATTACCGATGGCAAAATAGGTTGCCACAAATAATTGTTTTTCTTTTTTCTAATCTGCAACTTATGCCTCTAATTGTTATGGCTAATTTATGCTCTTACAAATCTTTGTAATGTAGGCTAGTTGTTTGTATTTGTTGCATCCGATATTAGGTCTTCTCTAATTCTTGAAATGTGGATGAATCCTCCTGTCAAAGTGCTTTCATGGAGGATAACTTTGCTTGTTGTTTCCTCTATTGTTGTTGTTGTTATTTACGAGCATATTGGTCAACATAGTTTTTCTTTTCTTTTCTTTTTCTTTCCTTTTCCACCTTCATTTATCTCGCCATTTAACTTGCGAGCACCCTCAACTAAGCCTTCTTGCTCGCGAGCCTTCTTTGCTCTTAAGCTCGCAATGTATTTAGCAATTTTTCCAAGGTAGTACTTGATAAATCCTTAGAATTTTTCAAGGAGGAAATTGTTGTCTCAAACCTTTTTGGAATAGTCACAAGAATTCTTTGAAAAACTCTAGAATCGGAAAATTTAGTTCCAAGCAATCTTACCTTGTTGACAATGCTTAGAAGTCCGTCAATATACTCTTTTACTATTTATAACTCCTTCATTTTTTACATTTCAAATTCCACGATCGGATTCAGCATTTGCTTTCCTTTGACTCTCTCATCGCCTTCATACTCTTGCTTAAGAAAGTCCTAGATGTCTTTTGTTGTCTTCGGGGTCATAATCCCGGTAAAATTTGTTGGTAAGACAGCTGAAAATAAGCATGCTTTTGCCTTTGATTTCCTTTGCCATCTTTCCTTATGATTCCTAATTTAAGCATGATTTGGGTTGGTTAGCAAAGGAGGAACTTCATATTCCTCCTTCACGGCTTCCTAAAGATCATTTGCATCAAGGTAAGCCTTCATTCTAGCTGCCCTTACCTAAAAATTTTCTCTTTGAAACACTTGGAGGAGAAATAGTTGTGAAAAGTGTCTCGGAATCCATTGTGGCTTAAAGGTTTCGTGTAATAGGTTTGGTTTGGTTTGGTTTAAGTGTGGCTTACCTTCAATTCTCACGATCCTTCAAGAAAAATATAGCTTTGATACCAATTGTTGGATCGAGGAGCTTAAATGAAAACTGAAAAATGGTAAGAATACAAACTATAAAGGATGAAAACTGCTGGTACGAGTTTTTAGAATTACAAAACTTCATTAAATACACAAACTTCTTAACTAAAATCCCGATAAATCTACATATAATCAACTAGCCAACTCACTACTAGAGAATAGCCACTAACTACCACTTCTAGCTACAAAATAGCAACTAACAAAGAAAATGGAAAATGCATAAAGACATGTTTAACAATTCCATATATGCTTATATCAAATTAGCTACCGAGGCATATGGATAACATCCTCGTACTCCACAACCATTATCACAATTACCTCTATCATTTTTTATAACATCATAATTGATAAAATTATTTTTTTAATTATTATTTTTGTTTGTATTAGAAACCGAGATATTAAAAAATTTAAATTTTTATTTTGATTTTTTATTTTTGTTATAAACACAATATGAAAATGCAAGTGTCATTTCAATTCATTAATTTTCATTCTAATTACTGTATTTCTATTTTGTATTTCTATTCTGAACTTTTTATTTATAGTAAACCAAATAACATCTAATGTAAAACAAAGACACAGAACAAGGTAACTAAGCTTTGCATAAATATGTTGATGCCACTTGCTGTTTTCTACCCGAGTCTTTTCACACAATGATCAGACAAGAATGGGATGTCCAGCCATATATAAAGAAGAAGGCGCTAATTGTTGTCTTGAACATAAAGAAAGTTTTCTGATACGCCTCAGTATTCTTAGGAATAGTTGGAACTAGGAAGAAATCTGCTCCTCATTTCTTCTTAGTCCCACCTGTTTGAGACTTGAACCACGAAACTAAGATATGTTAGATTGGATCGTATGCATCATACCACAAAGCAGATGTCTAATCAAAAGCTTCAATTTGAAAACAGAATACCATTGTTACATTCCACCATATATCATCACTAAACAAACGGATTATTATGCATTATAGAAGGGCTAGAAAACTCAAGAAACAACTGAAATGTAATCATTTACTTATCTAGTCCAAGTTCAGGTTCAGGTGAGAGAAACGGAAGGTTAGTTGGACTAAAGATATCCATCAGAAAAAAGAAAAGAAAAATGGCAGGAGAAAAGAGAGTTTTCATTAAAATTTTCTGTACTGGCAACATACAAGTTGCAGAAGATATTGTGTGATCAATGGTTGTTTTGAGGAATATTAAGATATCATTCCAGTTGGCTGCAGACTCCAATTATGTTATTTTAAAAACGTGATTGGGTACAGAAGCCCAAAACTAGGAATGCATTGCCAATTGTAAGCAAATTCTGGCTAGTCATTATATTAGTAACATACATAAATAAGGTAAAGCTTTTGAAAGCTAGATTCTGAGATCACATGCAATAATAGGAAACGCATTACCGATTGTAAGCAAATGTCTCATTTTTTGTGTATTTGAATGTCATTATCACCTACCAATCTTTTAACAAACTGAACTATTTTTATGTACAACTCTGGTTCATCCTTGCTTTGTTTTTTCCATCACACAACTAAACCAACCCAGTTCAATTAGAAAATTGATTAGTTAATAGCAAGTTGCATACATCAACTTGTGAAGACTGCGATTAAGGCATATAAATTGAAAGATCAAGGACTTGCATAAGCACACAAACTGCAGAAAATCAGCACCGGAAAGAAACTCACATTATAGGGTCCAATTGCTGCCAATAGGCAATTTACGTGTGCAGAAAATAATTTTTTTAGTTTAGATCTTTCAGTTGCAAAATTTTGAAGATTGATGCATCAGCATCCAGAAGACGAGTTCTGAATTGTTCTGTTCTCTCATCTAAACATTACATAAGTTAAGCATAATCATATCACAACTCATTTACTGCCTATACAACGCTCCAAGATGATGCCAAGAAAAAGAGATTCCATGTACGAAAAGGGCTGAACACAAGCCATTGATATCTAGCAAAACAAAATAGAAGAGAAATGTAGCACATTGATATCTCTTTGGCATATGCTTGATCAGGCATGTGAACTATCTATAGTATCCTGACATTAGAACATATTCTGGCAGCAAAATTATATTTGGCAAAGTAATAGAAGAAAAACCTAAATGCCATGAAACCTAAGAGGAGGTGCTGCAAGGAATTACAAGATCAGAAAACCAATACAGGTCTTGAAAGATGAACCACCCTCTTCACCTCCCATGAAATACAACCTTTGACATATGACAGAACTTCAATGATGCTTCTCATGACATCAACTGTCTGTTCAAACAAAACAACCAACTGTAAACACACAATTTGCAAATGGCAATCCTTGACGCATTTTTTAACTGACCAAAGGAGCCAGTTCAATTACATGGAAGTATGCAAACATTATTAACCTAATGACATAATTAATGAGTTTATATGCAGTGGATGCATAGATTTGGAGCCTGTATGGCCCCCCTGTTTTCCTAACTTTAAAGCAATTAAAAGTGCCAAAAATGTGTTTGATAAAGATTTTAAAAATCAGTTGCCTTACTTTTGGGAGTGGAAAGTGATTTTTATATAAGCAGGTTAAAGGTATATTAGCTTCCACTTCAAATAGCACGAGAAGTGATGCTTTTTGAGATGGAAGGCAGCTTATTTTATTTAAAAGAAAAAAATAAATTTAAATATTTTAAAATGACAAAAATACCTATATTGTACTTTACTGTAATATTTATTATACACTACTATTATGTTTCTTAATTAAATTATTTTGTAGTTCTATTTACTTTAAAAAAAAAAAAAAACTATTTAATGTTTTGATACTAGTTTCTTTCTTTCCCTAACATATATATGTACGTATGTATATACACACACATACATCACTACTATATTTTTTATTTAAATTATTTATTAGTTTTATTTACTTTTTAAAAAACCATGTAATGTTTGTTTGTTTTTTTTTTTTTTTTTTTTTTTTTTTTTTTACTAATATTGTTTATGATATTTGTCTGATTTCCAAAGAAATAATTCATTTCTTAAACAATTCAATTTAATTTTTTAAACAAAATATTTAATTTAAGTTTTCTTTATAATAGTTTTAATTCAAACAGCACACAATAGTAGATTAACAAAAGATTAAGCAATTTTACTCACAGCACAGCACAACATTTCATTACCAAACAGTTGGATGTGTTTAATCTCACGGGACAGCATAGCAGACACAGCAGGGACCAAAGAAGCTCTAGGAAAATGACTGGTAATAATCACATCAAACTATAGTATGACAAATAGACACTCAGATAAGAGAAGCAAACTGAAAGAAAAAGGAAAAACACAGATGCTCGTACACTGTTTGCTAGCAAAGAATTAGAGCTTTACACTGGAATCGAATAGTGTTTATTCTGCAGAAAAAAAAAACTCAGTTAATATGTCTGGGGACAAATTAAATGTCCGCAAACACAATTTAGTAAAATTTGAACTTAATTGTTCCCAATATTTTGAGCATTCATAAATACTGAAATAAAAACTACATAACATTTGGATGTGCATTACTGAATAAAATACAAAAATGTACCTTTGCAATGTTATCCAGCTTTTCATTCCCAGCAGCAATCATATCAGCCTTCGGTCCAATGCTGTTTGCTACTATCGACATTCATATTTAAAGAAGACATTGTTCATATCTTGCACCTGTCAAATTCAAGCACCACGGAGAGACACTTCCAACTGCTCTATCCTCTTAGCCAAATCATGCTTTCCACAGTTCTTCAACCCATCGGTAACCATATCAAAGCACCTAGAAATTGGCACCAAACCTATCTCTGTCATCTCCACCAAATAATTTGCTGCTTCCACATGCTTCCCTCCACGTCCACACATTGTTATCAACATTGTATAGACCGGCCTATTTGGAGGATGTCCCTTCACTTTCATCTCACTAAAGAAACAAAACGCATCATCAAACTGCCCTCTCCTACACATCCCCTTAATTATTGGCGCATACAAACTAGGAAATGGCTTATGCCCATCCTCAACCAAATTATGCAACAACCTAAAAGCCTCATCAATCCTACCCACCTTCGAAACAGCCGGAATCAAAATCTTATAACTGTTAATATCCGGACAGAACCCCAACTTACACACACTATGATACATATCAACACAAAAATCAACCTCCCCCACATTACAAACCGCCTCAACCAATGAATTAAACGTATGAACATCCGGCACAAACCCTTCCTTCATCATCCTCCTAACCATATCCTTCGCCGACTCCAAATATCCAGCATTCAACAACCCTTCAATCAGCAAATCCCTCCCTCTCACTGGAGGATTAAACCCCTTCTTACTCATTTCCTCTAAAAACTCTTTCGCCTCTCGTAACTTCCCACTTGAACACCACCCATTTACAAGAACCCCATAAGTCCTTTTATCCGGCACTATCCCCTTTCTAATCATTCTCCTAATCAAAGCATAAGCACCATGAAACATTTTCACCTCGCACAAAGCGTAAAGCAAAGAATTATAAACACAAACACTTTGTTCGCAATTTAAACTTCTACATTTATTAAAAACCTCAACAGCTTGATCAACCAAACCATGCTTACCATACTCTTCGATGATAAAACAAACAGCATTAGAAGAAACATGGAATTTGTCGCCGAAGTTGTCTTTGATTTGGGCTATGAGTTTCCACATTGACGCATATTTCTTGTTACAGGCGAGGGTTTTGATAAGTTCTTCATATTCTATAGTAGTAGGAGAGTAATAAGAGCGAGCCCAGTTGAAAAAACGGAGGGATTCGGAAGGAGAGTTGGAGCACGCGCGGAGTACCCGAAACACGAGTTCTGAACTGATAGGGAGGTTTAGTTTGTTGAGAGTGCGTTCAGGGTAGACTTCTTTACGGACTATGTTTGTTATGTGGTGGATTACGGAGAAGTAGGTGTCTTTGTTGGTATTGGTGGTGGCGGTGGTGGTTGTGGTGGGAGAGGAGAGGGTTTTGAGGTGGCGGAGAGGTAGGAGTTTTGTGGCTGAGAGGTGGTGGAGAGGTTTTGTGGAGCCGAGGAGCATTTTTGGGCTTTGCATTTTAAGTTGGTAGAATGAGGTTGCCGTAAGGCACTTCTTAGCCGTCTGATCGGGTCCGGTCGGTTCGGGTCCTGTCGGGTCGGGTGTAGGGGTAGTGATATGCAGGAAAGGACTGGTGACAGGTGAAGAGAGAGAAGGGGGAAAAAAAGAGAGAGAGATATGTGAATAAACAACCGAATAAATCTCTAATGGGAGAAATTTCCTTTTTTAAGTATTAGGTTTTCTCTAAACGAATTAGAGAGTTTTTTTGTTTAAAAATTAATATTTAATTTTTATAATTTTAAATTTTTGTATAACTAGATCATTTTTGTTCTTTTCCAATTTATTTTAATTTTTAATTTTAAGAAATAAAAAAATATAAAAAGAAGTAATAAAATATGGAATTATTGATGATAAAAAAACTTTTAAAAAAATAAAATAATATTAAATTAAAGATGATCAATGCTACTCAAGGGACTAAGTAATTAGTTTTTGAAATAAAAAAGTTAATTAATATAATTATAAAAAACAAAAGGACTAATTTATAATTTACTCGATTTTCTCAGATTAAAAAAAAAAGTATTAGGTTTAGGTTTTCTTAAATAAAACTCTATCTCTCTCTCTCTCTCTCTCTCTCTGATACAATCATAACTTTCTTTTTAACTTGTGTAATTTACATCCATAATCCATATATAAAAAGCACATTAAATATTTTTGAAGGACCATTATCTGAATGCAATACAAACACTATAACATATCCATCTATTACTATGTAAATTCTACCTCACTTTTAATTAAAAAAAAATGAGTAACATTAATCACATTTTTTAAAAGAATTTATTAATTTCTAAATATTTAAAAATCCTTATTGGCAGTTTACTTAACTAAAAAATTTAAAAATGATTTGAAATACGTTAATAAAGATCGGTAAAATTAAATTACAAAATTATATCTTCCGAGAAACTTTGCTAATATTCAACAAGACTTATTTAATTTAAAAGGTTTTTAAAAATTTTATTCATTCCTATATTCTTAATTTCTGTTAGAAATAACTCTTTAAGATAAAGAAACTTCATTATATATATATATAAAATGCTCATGCTAATGTTGTCATACTAAAAAATAGCAGAGCTCTAATAAAAATTGTGAGCACATCATGTTTCTTATCTATTCATTCAATATGAATAATTTTTATAAATGGCCTCTGTAGACAAAATAAATTAGAAATATTAAAACAATGATGGCGTTTTTTGTTTTAAGAGATAACGATAGCGATTATTGCAGAAAAACATAAAAAATTCATAATATCAAAACATAAATATTAATGTCTAACATGTAATGATTTATCAAGTTCTACTTTCTATTAAAATGCTGTAAGAATTTTAAATCGTAGATATTTACTATTCTATAATCACAATCAAACTTCAAACAAAAGTATTGGATTAGTTTTTTTAACCATATATATTCATTATCATATTTGTATTTTAATGTCTGATTGTATCCTTTTCAATCACATTATCAAATTAGCTTTATTTCAATTCGTCATTGATGCATTCAAAAACGTAATATTTATAAAGAGAGAACTTATAATATTTTCTCGTGTGATTCATATGACCAAGATAATTTCCAACATATTATATTTATATTTTAATATTTAATAATTTTACTTTCATCGTAATCAAACTAGCTTAAATTTGAAAACAAAAATTCCCTATTAGCTTTTGACAATGAAAAAGTAAAAACTCTTGTTCTATTATTATTTTTTTCTTTTTTCTACCTTCTTCTTCTTTTTGAAAAAAAAAAGGATGTTTTGAGAGACGCGGGTGGGTTAGCATGAAACAAAGTATTACTTGGATTTCTATCCTTATAAATAAATTAGCGCAAGCTTTTTAATGAATATTATTTCTACGGATTCTTATCGCACATACATTACTAAATTCTCTTTATTAAATATTACAGAAAAAATCAATTTTATGTCCCCAATTTCACAATTTTTGTTTTAGTATAGTTAAAATTGATTTCATATGTTAAAAAATAACACAATATATAAGTTCGATTGAATAAGAACATGGCATCATATTTAAGCACATCCAACGGGCTAGACTTACATGCGTCAGCACAGCTTCGATGATATCCAAGCAGGAAGCATCGATTCACACACTTCTGTTAAGACCAAACCTTTTGCTGTAATAAATCTGACATCAACTCAACCCTAGTTTTAGCACTGCAGTAAAATCATACCAAGTTTTTGTCACGTCTCTTGCAAAATTTCGTTATGTTTAATAGGGTTATTAAATTTCAAAGAGGGTGCAAATCAATCTTGTAGGATATAACTCCGACGCCCTGCATAACTCAAAGCTCAGCCGATCTCACTTCACAATGGTGTAGAAGTATATAATTAAAAAAAAAATCGGAAAGTGATCGGCAAGGATGAGGCATGCACGCACAAATTTTATCATTTCATTTCTAGCCTGATATATGTGTGTTAATTAAAGAGAGGAAGGAAATTCATCCATGGATATGGTAAACACATCACAATTTCATCTGAATAATGGACCAATTTTTTTCTAAATATTCTTTTACTATTCTCTCTTGCTCTTATCTACAATCCCGTCTATCTCATGTCCTCTCATCTATCGTAAGGGAAGTCAAAATCATTTTCAGCAACTTTAAAGTGATGGGGCTGCTGGCCTGAGCAATGAATATTCCACATTTTGAAATATGACCTCTCCAGGTTTCTAACCTGCATTTGCAAAAGCAAAAGAATGAACATTTGTCCCTCGCACATTCAAGACACGTGGTAATTGCACACAAAAAAAAAAAAAAAAAAAGCTTCAGTGGAAGCTTACCCAGCGTCTTGTGTCAAACAGAGGGCAAGTTGTACGGACTGCCTTCAGTCTATTTGTAAGAGACTGAAGCTTGGGCCGATTTAATGCAAGAGAGACAGCCCTCTCTTCATATTCTTTCATACTGCAAATAAGGGCAAAGAAATGAGAAGATGAAACTCACAAGCAAGGACGCACATATGGTATGAGTACATGCAAAGCTGATTCGAGATCTACCTGCTAACAATCATCTCGTCCCCAAGTCCAGTGGCAAGACAAAGAGATCCAGCAACTCTAGTAGCCATTTTCTCAAGGGGCATGGTCACCATTGGTAAACCTGCCCACAGAATATCTGTTCCCGTGGTATGTGCATTGCATAATGGCCTAAAAGAAAAATCCATCAGTCAAAATCCTAACCTCCAGGCAACAAATGGACAGAATTCAGTTGTAAATGAAAGAGGGGGCAATTACGTGTCGAGAAATAAATCTGCCAAGGCACTGCGTCGGATATGCTCTTGTTTCATGGCAACATCTGTGAATATAATTTGGTCTGGCTGCACTCCTTGAGCAACAGCATCTGAACAAAGTCCAGCAATCATTAACATAGTGCCACAAGCTAAATGCTAAGAGAGCAATTATGTTCCTTATGAGAGGTAAAAAGATTTCACTTACAGGAGCGAAGTCTCATTTCCCCTGCAGCAGGGAACCTAAGGAGCCAAAGTGCACTGCTGGGTACACGTTTAAGAATGTTGCACCTACAAGATTAAATATAAATATGAAGTGTCTTGCTCGTTTACAAAAATGAATTTAAGGTAAGGACTGTCAGGCATGGATTACCAAGTATTAAAGATTTCAGGATCCATTTTGTACAGCTGATTGAAGCATGCAAATATAAATTTATCTTCAGGGAGACCATAATCCGATCGCTTGTGCTGGCGTGTTGGATCCAACACATCCAGATTTTTCTGAAAGCAACAGGAGTTGGCTTTAAACATTCATGTTCCACAACGAAGAAGTATAATATAATAGATATTCTGAGACTAACCTGTTTATAATCATTCACAAAGTAGCAATGCGGCAGGTGAACCAGCTTTTCAGAATAAATATGCGCATAACGGGTGGGTGAAACAAACTGAGAGGAAAGAGCAGGTACATCAGAATTCAGACAACAAAGACAACAAGAACACAGCAAAAGCAGATGCAAATTTAGATTTGAGTTCCCTTCCAACCTCATCAGTAACTAAATAATCAATGTATGTTGCTCCTGTGGTCCCTGGGAATCCCATATATGAAACCTGTATGGGTGCGGGCTGCATAGCAAATATTTCATTTCTGGCACCCTGGATGAAAAAATGAAAGTTACAAGCTGGAACCAGCAAATGATTAGCTAATTTATAATGTACAAAACTATTAGTAACCGTACACAAGCAAGCTACAGGTGCAAAGTCATTAGGAACATTTCCTAAGGGCAAAGCATGTTTAAAGACTGATCCACTGTTTACCCCACCAAAATAAACAAAAACAGATTACATTATGCCATGCACCTATAAAAATAACAGATTTCAAAGTCTAATGATGATTACCATTGTACAATACCTCAGAAAGGTGGAGGTACAGAACCGCCAACAAGAGCATAAATCAAGATTGCCAATTCTTTAAGAGAGACTCAATTATTTGATGAATAGTCATAACACTAGCAGAATGCTAGGTAAGGTGCATTTTTGTAGCCACCAAAACAAATAAAATTAGGAAAACCTAATGAATAGTCCTAAGTCGATAATAAAACTAAAATCCTCTTTTAACACTAAAGACTTGTATTTTAAAATAATACTAAAAAAGGGTAAAACTACAATAACCCCCTTGAAGTATTGTGAAATTACAAAGATCACTCAAAAGTTCGAAGAGCTAACAAAAATCCTTTCCGTGTTTAAGAAAAAATATTATAGAAACCTCCCCAAAATGCCCTTAATTATGATTAAAAAATAGAGTTAAATGAAGAAATTAAAGACAATAGAGAGAATATAAAAGAATGGGACATGATTATTTTTAATACATAAACAACACTAATTTCAGTCAACTTCGTTGAGCTAAACTTTTTAATACTCTAATTTTTAAGAAGTATTAAATTTAACTTCCTTTTCTAAATAGTAATTAAGAACATTTTGGATATAATAGAGGGTTTCTGTCAAATCTAAGAACTTTTGGGTGGTCCCTATAATTCCAGGATACCTCAAGGGGGTTATTGTAATTTACCCTACTAAAAATTTAGAATTATCATTATCATACAACACTAAAATTCGTAAATGACCAAGGTTAATTCCCGGTTGTCATTCTTCATTCCCCCCATTGGGTGGTGAGTTTTTTAGGAAAAATATGAATCATACCTTGGTGTACCCATTAAGGTTGATAAGGATCTGTATCTTGTCCTCATTAATTAGTTTGGCAATCACATCTGATGACATGGTAGACACATCTATAAAATGCTCAGCCTCAAACTGGGTACGCTGCCTCCACTCAGTTCCATCATTTGGACTCAAGGCATAGCAGAAAACCTGCATGTATAGCTAGTCTTAACATACAACTGTAGAGGGAAAAAAAATTTTGAAAAAAAAAAAAGAGAGAGAGAAGCAATATAGCCCCTATAGTGGCATATCAATATTTACAGACCTCAACATTTTCTCTGTCGTGCATACCAAATACAGATCCCATAAGGTGCGACAAGGGATGGTTGCCAAAGTCACTGCTCACATATCCAATCCTAAGTCTCCCGCTTCCACGTTCATGCTTAACAGGAAGAGGGGCAGGATGCTTGAACGGAGCAAGTGTAAAACGAGATGCAATTATAGAGCAATGAGCGGCGTATTTACGACTGTAAGATGGAGGTATAAAAATAAGAACACTTTCAAATCATACAGATCAAGTACAGCTCAGTCCAAGAAAATAATCACACCTGATTTCAAGCGCAAGCACTGGATCAATAGGATATGCTATAGCATGAAAAGGCTGCACGCTAGGAAGAACTGACACCTGAAATTAATAAGGGAAATTAAAACAGTTGCAACTCCAGGAGACAATATTCAACTGCTAAACAAAATGTAGAAACATACAATGAAAAACAGCAAACATCATCAATTCTTACCGAAATCTGTCTCCGAATAATCCCTTCAACCTCATTGAACATTTTATCACGATCCTCCCAACAGCAGACACACTGGAAAATGGAAAATGAAAATAAGCAAGACATTAATTCACACCACGAAAGATTCTTCTAGTAAACAAAGTGCTTCAACGTCCAACTAATTAGCTTTAACAAGTTGACATGGAAATATTTATGAACAAATGTACATATACACAAGAGGGAGATGAAGCATATTTGATAGCAAACTCATCAGGATTGACACCAGACATTGCATAGTGGACAGAGAATGTTCTGCATAGATCATTCACATCCTTAATGCATATGAAATACAAGCAGCATTGATAAGGACAAGGTAACTAATAAAAGGAAAGAAGCAACTCAGTTCAACAACTCAAAACGTTGTAGCTTTTACACTATAAACCTAACACAATAAATCTATACCAATCCAGGTTACACCCACAAAATGACAGCACAGTACAAGCATCACTTTTAAAACAATACCTGCAATGTGTGTAGAAGGTTGCATGTTGCTTCTGGAAATTCTGGTCGCAGAAGCAGCGCCTGCCTGTAGCTCTTTATTGCAGCCTCTACATGTCCACTGTGTACATACAAATCCAAATTCATCAGCAGATAGCTAGTTTTCATAGCCAACATGAATATTTTCAATAACATATTGTGTGAAGCATTCAAATTCAATATTTGAATCCCAAATACTTTTCTCCACTCAAGTGAACTTGAAGAAACATTTTGGGGAATTTCTAAGCACAAGAGCACCCATAATTGCAGCATATCAAATATATTATTACCTAGCAACTTGCTAAATCATGAGCTAAATATCTTTGAAATCTTATGAATAGTAAACGATATCAGAGCAAACAGGTGAGACTCCCATTGTAGTAATCAATGTTAGGGAAACCAACACAGCCTCACTCCGACTTAGTGATCCCTTTCTCTCTCCACCCATCAAGCATCATTTATGAAAGCTATACTAATTAAATTGGATTCTCAAACTAGAAACTAGCATGTACCTGTCTTTATAAGCTGAAGCCAAATTTGCATGGGCTTCAGCCATGGTTGGTCGGATAGTGATAGCATGAATGTAGTCTTGAATTGCCTCGGTTACTCTACCAATCTCCTTGTAAGTGTTGCCCCTATTTACAAGTCCATCAGCTGCCAAGGGTTCGATTCGAAGAACCTCATTATAGCAAGATATAGCGTCTGAGTAATTTCCCTGCCAAGAAAAAAAAAAGAGAGAGATGTAGTAGGAACAGCCAAGAAACATTGGAAATCCACTTGACAGTATTACGAGAGAGAAGCAATTATTGTGCAGCTCCCCTTTCCGTTCAATAGGCAAACGTAAAGTTGATCACAGAAGTGCTCACTGAAAGCAGTCAGCTGCCATTACCTGCTGTTTATAGATTACAGCAAGATTATTGAAAGGAGCAGACAGCCCCGTCGTGACAGCCAGAGTAGCCTTGTAACATGAAGCAGCAGCAGCAGACATGTTCCTGCATAATCAAAGAACTCTCATATAAAACCCCGGTACTTCAAATCCTACATCTATTTGACACAATAAAATCATTCCGTGAAATATCAAGAATTCAAGATCATATACCATTCCATATATATATTCCCAAGGTTGGTAAGTGCTTGCGGGTGGCTTGGCTGTAGTTGAAGGCATTGCTTAAGCAAAAAACAAATATAAAGGTTAGAAATTACAAAATCATGCAAAATTGCAGAGGGAAAAAAGAACCAAACTGTGAACCTTACATTATAGCATTGGATTGCTTCATCCACTCTACCAACATCTTTCAATGCATTGCCCTTCCAGTTGGACAATAAATCCAAAATTCAGGTTAGTGAATATAAGAGTAAATGAACATTGTGCTTCAAATTTGAAAGAAATTAATGCTAATGCATGGCTGCTAGCATAAAGTATGACCAACCAAGTTATTGTAAGCCTCGAGAAATCTCTGATCACAAGCAATGGCTTGCTTATAATGAAGAATTGCCAGATCCGGTTGGCCTCGCTCATAATATGTACTAGCCAAATTTCCTGCACCATGTTACAGACCAAATAGTTACACAGAAGTTCGGTTTTTTTTTTTTTTTTTTTTTGGGGGGGGGGGGAGGGAGTAATGCGGTCCTTAAACCAGAACCACATGAAAGTGAATGTATGGAAAAAAGTAAGCCAATAGCCAATAGATCAATAATAGTTTCTCCTGGCAGACACGCACACGGATGAATTTTCAATAGTCATCAAATAAAGAATTAAAAAACAAATAAAAAAACCCAGGAATGCACATGAAAAAAGCAACAGCTGGAATTGCTATAGTTGGAAGGGCAAGGTCCAGGTCAAAGCACAACTGCAGGCAGAAGCACAATATTTTCTATAAACAGGTTCTTCTAGCAATCATTATTTACATTTTCATAAAACAAATAGTAGTAATGAAATTAAATAACAACAAAAGTAGATACACCAATCAAATATTAGATTTCAGAAAGACAAACCAGATATACACTACAAATACGGACATGCCAATAATGCACGTTAAACCATAAATATATTCACTCAGAGCATTTCAAGGGGCAAGTACTGAGGATGACAGCAAGGCACAGCAAACTCACCAAAAGCCATTGCATAGTTTGGTCGTGTCTGAACTGCTCGCTGATAGCACAGTATAGCCTCTTGAGGCATTCCCAAGGCCTTAAAGGGCAAAAGAAACACGTAAGTTTTCTCCATGGGCCAATGTCGCACCAGGCAGAAGCAAGTTCTCCAATTTAAGGGCACAAGACACAATAGCTTACCTTATAAACATTTCCAAGATTTAAGTAGGCATCAGGAAATTTAGGTTTAAGTTTTACAGCTTCCTGCAATTTTCGAATTACAAAATGAAATCAGAAGAAGGATACAGCAACAAGAATAAATACAAATGGAGATCTCATTCAGCAGCTTTGATACAATATACAGTGACCAAATAAATGCAGATTGATAATGGAAGTGTTCACAGCTCACAGAAGACAGTCAAAATTAAATTCTAAACAGAAAGAACTGATTGAAACTGATTACAAAAAGCAATGAAAGAAGAAAGTTTAGCAACATTTAGACATGATGACTACACACAACATTAGATTCAATAGTTTCCCGCAATAAAAGATGAGTTTAGACAATCATGACAATTGAACCAGATTGTCCAAGCAAAATCTAGAGAGAAGGGGAACACAATTGAAACTCAACCGGAAATAAAAGCAGAAAAATTTAAGTAAAGATCAGTTGTACCTTATAATATTGAAGAGCTCTGTTAAGATCACCAGACTCCATAAAGAGACCAGCAAGATTTGACCACGCAATAGCAAATGTTGGTTGTATCCGTAGAGCCTCAAGGTAGCAACTGTATGCCTGCACAAAATGTTAGATTCTGACAATTTGGTGTCTTGCACATGGAAGTTACAACTAGATCAACCATCATCTGAGCCCTGGCCTGTTGGTAACTTCATGACATCTGTATCGAACTGTGAATTAAGGCACAGTTCCACACAGGAATTATTATGATCAGTAACTTTGCCAAAAAGGAGAGACGCACACCACACAAACATATACATGGAAACAATGACTTCCTCCCACACGTGAGGAGGAGAAGTAGGGCCAAGTGAATCCCATAGAGCTTTCACTCATTCACTCAAATTTGAGTACCAATTTGCACATGGACTGATTGATATGCAAACTGATCCACTGGAATCCTAATCTTAGCTATATGGCATGGCGACCAAAGAGGGTATAAACAAAGTTTAGCAACCAAAATACCATAGCCCAAACGTAGTGTCTGGGCTAATGACAAAGCAATTAGCACTCAGAAACTAAACAGAGGTGCAGTATTCATTTCATTGACACTTACTTCTTGCACCAATCCTTGTGCCTTCATTAAATTCCCAAGATTGCTATGAGCATCAACCTACAAGACAGTTGATGTAAACAGGCAAGTTATGAACACTCGCTACAATCATAATACCATCCACTGCCTGTTAGCCAGCATAAAGCAATGAGGAGTACTGAAGTTATAATAATTTTTCTTTCCTCTGGCCTATCTAATTGACAGCTAACCAGATCATTATACAGCCAAATACAGCCATATTAGACAAAAATATACCAGAAGAGGATTCAATGCCAGGGCCTGACGACAACACTGTGATGCCTCAGTTAGTCTTCCCTTTCGCATGTATGCACTAGCCAAATTTGACCAAGCATCAGCAAAGTTGGGTCGAAGCTGCAATCAAGCATGCAAATGTGACATTCGTTATTATTATATAAAAAAAGCTAGCATATAAAGTTGGTGCAGTTATACGCAAAAGGAGGAAGGATATGATCCAAATAGACGGTCAAATAAAACAATGAGGGAGAAAGCAGAGGTTAAGATCTCACACTAATTCAACCCTAATACTATAGTTAAGCAAGCAACATCCATATGAGCATAATTCTATCAGATGCCCGTGCAAATTGAGCATTCATGGACTTTAAATCGAATAACAAACTCTGTTTGCATTGCTAAACTTTCCAAACAATCATTTTCAGTGTAAATCAAAAATGGCTACTTAGGAGAGAAACAGTACAATGAATGCACGCTGACCTCGATTGAAACCAAGTAGTATCGAATGGCAAGATCAATATCACCCTTTTCCTGTATTATTATCAAACAAAACATAACCTTCATCAGCAACCAATCCCGATCCCATGAAGGATCAAACACATCCACAATTCCATACAAACCCAGGTGATAATTACCTTCCACGCATTCGCCATGTTTCCATAACACTCTGCAAAACGCGGTTCAAGCCTAAGAGCTTCTTCATTTTTGGCAATGCACGTATCATAATCTTGCAACTGCAAGCACGCGAACAGGCAAACAATTTATAGTTTTAGCCAAAACAAACAGAAAAAATAACACTCAAAAGAAATTAAAATGAAAAACAACCTGATAATAAATAGCACCCAAAAGAAGAAGATTATCAGTCCGCTGCGGACTTCTCTCGTAAACAGCACTGCTATGCTCTAATGCTTGTTTGTAATTCCCAGATTTGTACAGCTGATGCGCTAGCGCTAAATGTGCATCTTCATCAACTGCTTTCAGGGGGAAAAAAAGAATTTACAAATTTTCAAAATGATACTGAATTTTCCAAATTCAATAACCGATCTAAAACATTAAATTCTAACTCAAAATTAAAAAAAAAAAAAGGATTAAAAATTAAGACAGTATTAATTAATTAATTAATTAAAAATAACTAACCTTCATGATGAGAATCACGGCCTTTAAAAGGCAACAAACTCAGCGGAGCCGAAGAAGCCGACGAAACCGAAGCAGACGGCTCCAGCTTCACCTGGAAGCCACCGACGGCATCATCGCGAGCCGAACCAAACACAGCCGGCCGAGCTCCGTTTTGCAACGAAATCATCTCGATCTCGATCTCGATCTCTCTCTCTCTCTCTCTCTCTCTCTCGTTCAACCCCAAATCAAATTTCAATCATCAAAATGAAACAACAGAATCTCCCGATCGGATCAAAGGACTTATAAAAATCAAACGAATTCTCTCACAGAAACGAAGAATTCGATTTATGAATAAGAACCCTAAGCTAATTAATTAAAATTAAGGAGTATAATCAACGTTGGATTTTATTTCTTACGAGCTTTTTTCTTCGATTTTTCGCTTCTTTTGGAGGCTTCTGGAGAGAGGAGAGAGAGTAGGATATATATATATAGTGCGGGTGGTGGATGGTGAGGAGAGATCAGAGCCGTTGAACTGTTCTTGGATTGGAGTCGTGTTGAAGAGATTCGTTTAGTTCTGACACGTATCTATGTAGCTTCTTTTTTTAGCTAGCTTTTGTCTTTATTCGCTGAAGTGGTTCAAATTCTATATCTTTTCTTTTCTGTTTATTACAACTAATTTTTACTTTTTTTATTAGTAATGTAAAAAAGCTATTTGTTTGGAGGACATATATAAATTGGTGCCCCAACTATATAGATAGTTTCAATTTAGCTCTTAAAATTGAAAATTACACAATATTATTATTATTATTTTATAAATACTGTTACCTTGTTTTCCTAAGATACCTACCCCTTCTGTTTTGGACTACTCCACTACCGTGAACCATGGCTATTCAGGATACATTCCTTGTACTAGGGATTTTGAAATTAAAAAAAAAAAAAAAAGTTTACCACTCCTCTAGTCTTGTTATAATTTAGAATTAAAACTTCACACTAATTACAGATGATAAAATAAAAAATATTGAAAATACATTATTTCAGAATAAATATATAATAATAAAAATCAAGACTAAGGGTTTGTTTGGTATTATTGTAATTTTTTTATTGTTGTGTTGTGTGTGTGTTGTTTTGCAAAGTATTTGTATGGTATTATGTAGTGGGACAAAATCAGCGTTTAATGATTAGTTATTGTAAAGTGCTCACAGGTATTTAAAAAAAATAATAATAATATTTAATTATATTATATTATTGTGTTTTTAAAATGTAAAATTATAAATAAACACGATGGTATATTCAAATTATTTTAACAAAAATATTTTATTTATGTTAAATTAATAATTTATAATTTTTTAATCTTATATGTTATGTATGTGCATGGATCCATATTCTTTTGTTAGAGTGATTCTTAAATTCAAAAACTAAAAGATAAAAGAGTTAAATAATGTAATAATATATATGCGTACATCATTTTAATATAATCAATAATTTATGAAAAAATGTTTTGAAATTGAGTTGCGTAAAATCTTTGAAATATATCTAATTTGTTTCATTTTAATTAAAAAAACCCACAATAATAAGCTGTGTTTTTAATTAAAAGCAAAGTAGTTTTGTTTTTTAAATGCCAACTGTTTTGCTTTGAAAACAAAATAAATAGTAATCAAACACTGGTTTTAATTAAACTAAAAGCAAATAAAAGCAGTTGTGTTCTAAGAATATAATAATGCTAAACAAACACTAAAAGTCCATACAGGACTTTAAATTGGACAGGTGGAGCTTTGGTGGCTTTTGGCGTGATGTTAGACTAGGGTTTTGGACATAACTCATGCATGCATGCTAGTAATGCATTACCAAGCAAGTTTGGTTCACTTGCCACGCCATGAGATCCAAACTATTAAAACTTGTAACAACACTTGGATTTTAGTACTAAAAAATAGTGTTAATGTTACACATACAATATGTATAAAATAAATGGATTTCATTGCTTTGTTGAAAGGACATGTGATGATGTAGAAAAAAATTTAAAAGATTTTAGGGTAATATTGTGTATTTGTTTAACTTTGAGGACCAAGATAAATCATACATAGTGTTGGGGGACTGATTTATAGTTTCTCTAGTTTTCTCTCATGGTTGTTTTAACCATTGCCATATATATTGGAAAAAACTAGTCGGCTTTTCCAGCTACCCAACGACCGCACTAGACATGTTTTTTCTCATTTGGATAGTCCGTAGTATATTCCTAATCAATCAAAATATATTAATTAAAAATCAAAGATAAAATTTTATCTGATTTTATAATTTTTAATCAAAATTTTATATTTTATATTTTATTTATTTATTCATAAATTTTGTTATTAAGAAAAACATGATTCGTTTTTCATTACAAATTCAATCTTGAATAAAAACTTGTAATAATATAAATAGAAAACTTAATATAAAATTTAAAATAACTTGTATAAAAATAAAATAAACCAATATCAAAAATTATATCAAAAAGTAAATAACAAATATTTTTTAACTTTTTGAAAATATATACTTTTGATTTATATATATTTATTTATAAAATAATCAATAATATTATTATAAAAAGATATATTTGAATTAATATTAAGTGGTTCTTCTAAAATACTATTTCAATAATTTAATTTGAAAAAAAAATAATTTTAGAATATTAAAAAATTAATAACAAATTATTGGTGTTATGTGTAGATACATAGTTATTTTTTAATAAACCAATGATCTCAATAATTTTTTTATACATCATGACTATATTTAATGGGTTAGAGTATGTAATATAAATCGAAAAATATTTTCTAAAAAAATTAAGTTTTAAGAAATATATTAAAGTAAATAAAGTGCAATAAAACAACTAAAAACTTATTTTGATAAAATTTGATTATATCAAGAATAAATAAATAAAATAAGTAAATTCTATTATGTAATTGATTATTTATTAAAGAAAAATTTATTCAAAAATCCATATACTTTTATAAACAAATAAATCACTTAAAAAGAATAAAAAATTAATTTGATGAGAATTTCTAAAAAAATGACAAATTGAAGGGATTAATTTTTTTTAAAAAAAGAGTATATATGAGTGTGTGTGTTAATTTTAAAATTTAAAAACATGAAGGGCTAAAAACGTGTTTTTAAAATATGAAAAACCAAAAATATCTTTCAAAAAATGAGGAATCAAAATGGAATAAAGTGAAAATATGAGAGGTTAAAAATATCTTTTAAAAATATAAAGGATAAAAATATCTTTTGAAAATATCAAAAATAAAATAGGATATAATGTAAAATTTGCATATAAATATATAAAAAAAAATCATAAAATTTCCATGGTTCACAACTACAAAATCGTCACACAGAAAATAATGATCTATGAGTAAATAAATAGTATCTGCTTTAGTTCGTTTTTGTTAATTATTCATTGGTGTCGTTCATAATTAACACTAGAATAAATTTAAATTTAATATTTGTAGTTAATTATCTCGAACAAATAAAAAAGGCGAGTTTCCTGTCCCATATACGGAATCTTGTGCTTTTATCGAAATAAATAAATAAATATTTAAAGCTTATCCAATTTATATACATAATAGCATTAAAATAAGATAAAATGAGTCTCATCAAAATTTTAAACGGAAAAAATGTAAAAAATGGTTTCAAATTTGATACTTAGAGATATTTTGGTTTACATTCATTGAGTACTTTTAATTTTCCATGGTTTTTATAACTTTTAATTTAATTTAATTTAATATTCTTAAACCATTTTTTTTATTGGGAGATCCTAACTTGAATGTAAAAGCTAAAAACCGAAAGATATATTTTTGTACTTTCCCAGGGTAAAGAAAGTGATAATTTTTGTAAGGAAAGAAAAAAAAAGATATGTTCCATGAAAAGAATTATAGTTTTAATTTTTTTAATCTTAATATTGATCGATTGATTTATTTATTATTATTATTATTTGAATGAAATGAAAAAGCTGCTCTGTTCTTTGCAGTACCAGTATCTTGTTCCTATTATTCTAACCTTCCCTCAATGATTAGGTTGTCTAAATCTGTAGATTATCGTGATGTAATTGTTTCTTGTTTTAGTATTCTTTCCAGTGGCGAAGCAACTCATCATTGTTTTGAATATTCTTATGACCGGAAAAAACCTAAAGTTTCATTCTTGATACAAGTATGGATGGTAGGATCTTTCCAAATAAAAGAATGGTAAATAAAAAAATGATATGATGTGAATGTAATATTTTCTGTTGGAGAATATGGAATAACCTGTCTGCCTTTTTATTTATTTATTATTATTTTTTTTTAAAAAAAGCCAAGATTTCTCAATCAAGACTTGGGCTCAGATATAGGCAACAGCCAGTGCTTCACTTGCTTTAAAGAAGAGGATTTTGAAGGTACTTTACTGCTTATTAGCTAGCCAGACAACTAAAATGGAGATAGTAAATATTACTGTGTTGGAATATACAAGGCAGTTTGTGCTACTCTTTGTGACTTACGCTTAGGATGAATTGGCTACTCAAAAAATCACTCTGGTTTTCTTATTTATTACACATGTACAACAAGTTCATCACTCGAATTAGCATCATGACTCGGCGAAGACGAGGAGGACGAGGAGGAGGAATCCAAGTGTCCTTCGAGCTTATTAGACTCAATAAGCATCAGAACAACCTCTCGCATTGTTGGTCTGTCGAAAGGAGACGTACTTGTGCAGAGTAAAGCGATTTTCATGACAGTAATCATGTGAGGGATTGTGTTCTGATCTTGCAGATTGATTCGATCGTCAAGCATTCCAGGTGATAAGGAATGAACTTGAATGTAATTTCTTACCCATGATACGAGATCGCCGCCTTGATCTAGTGGTTGCACAGGTGTTCTGCCAGTCAGCAATTCCAGCAAGACGACTCCGTAGCTATATATGTCGCATTTTTCGGTGACTTTCATAGTGTATGCATATTCTGTCATTGAGATCAAAATTATTCATCAACAACAAAAAGAAAAGAAGGAATTTACACAAGGAATGCAATTAACAAACAGTTGTAACTTTATGGCCAGTGAAAAATTGTTAATACATCAGACTTGCTGGTTAAAACCATGCTCATACTTGATCTATGGAAAAACTTCATTGGACAAGACATTCAAGATTAAACAATTATTACAAAAAACTCAGATGGTACAGGCTTAA